CCCCAAAACCCCAAAACCCCAAAGATCATTTATATAGGAAAATACGTTGAATAGTTTTAATTTAGACAAAAATATAATAATAGGAAGCAATAAAGTATAGTTTTTGTTTCTTAATCGTATGCTCATTATTTATAAGACGGAATGTGCTTTGTTGATCTTGTATAAGTATTAGGGTTACTCTAGCCAAATTATTATTGAGTAGGAGGATTTTATCCGGTTTATTGCTTCCACCTTAATTTGCTGGGAGAATACCCTCTAAGGGTTGGATTTAAGCCTGGCTTAGCTCCATTTGCAGCTGCTGCTGTGTTGTTGTTGGTGTTGTTTTGTATTCCATTTGTGTTTGATAAATTGCTTCCGTTACTTCCACCAGTCATAAGCTATTGACCATGCTTGAAAACAGCTGATCTAGTCATATTACTATTTGTTGAGGGATCTAAATTTATTGATTAAAATACTAATCTTACTGTATTTAACACGATTTTAAGTGGTGTTAGAGGTGTTAGTCATGTTATTTGATTGACTTGGACTAGATGGTCTTTTAGCTGGTGCGCTTGATGGTCTCGTTTAACCTGATTTGTTTGGGCCAAGTTTTGAAGCTGAACTTGAAGCAAGCATTTAGTTAGCGTTTCCTGATGAAGATATCGGCCTGGTTTGACTATCGTTTTTGCTATAGTTTGTGTTTAGCCCTCCTCCTGTGGTAGTATTGCTATTCATGATCCTAAAAATATTAAGTTAAAATATTTCATAGCTTACTTGATCGGGCCATTTCTAAAGGAGTTAAGCATATTCTTAGACTAAGTATTTGGCTATGATTGTTGTTAAATCCCGCTGGTGTTTTGAGCATTTTAATCGTTCTACTTCTATGCTAAGTTTGAAGAAGAATTATTAGCAATCATATTGTTTTGATTATTCTTTAGGATGAAACTATTTGATGTAGAGCTTTGATTAGTAGAAGTATTATTTTAAGTAAAATTTTAAGTTGGAGTATGTGGTCGCTTTGGGACTGAACCTGGTCTTTACTATTGGTGAGATAATCCAGTCATTGAACTGCCTTAATTCACAGAAGTAGGAGTATATTTGTTCATCTGAGCAGTTGTCCTTTTCATGTCTTAGGCAGAAGTTTGATTCTAATTTTGATAGCTATATCCCATCTAGGTTTAACCTTAATTCTAATTGTTTCCTGATGAAGGTCTCTTCTTTGCTGAGGAGCCAGTATCATTCTAATTCTACTTTTGTTAAACACTTGGAGAAATTCCTCTAATTTTATTTTGCTAAAGGGCTTACTAATTAATAAGGGTTTGATTTATCGGATTTTGTTGAGTGTTAAGATTTGTGATCTTTTAGGGACCACTAATAGCTTGTTATAATGGATTTTACTATGTCTAATGATGAGGTGGATTGTCATTCATGATATTCTCAAGCTATGAAGACATTGAAGACATATTGATAGTTGATTTATCATCATTTGGAAGAGTTGTTTTTTGTGGAATTTTTTAAGTTAGCTCTCTCTTCTTAGGTTCCATGTTATTTATCTATGCTTGATAGTTTGCAAAGTTAGATTGATCTGAAAATGGCTATTAGTTACTTTATGTTTGGGGAATAAACTTACTTGATGGCTAATTTATCATCATCAAGTTTTCTTAATCTTAGTTGAAGTTCAACTATGATCCAGTTGGTTATTATTGATTGGGAATATTAACAACTGGAGTTTATTGAGTATTGGATGTCTTTGCTAAGAATTTAGATTTTGGCACACTCAAGACTGGTTGTGAGTTAATCTACTAAACTTATTATTATGTGAGATGAATTTATTGTTATTACGTTTGCTATTACTATTATTATTGCTAATTCATGAGCTTTTAAGTGTGATTTAGTCTTGAGCCTTTAACTATCGATTTAACTTATCTCTTTTCCTTGTGATTCATTATAGGGGGAGGATTTATCTTGTTAACTAGATCTTCGTCATCAGGCCCCTCTTCAGCTAAAGGTCTTTTTTAGTGAAGATTTTCATCAACCCACTTTAATGTGAAACTTTTATCCTCATCGGTATTTATTCCGGTAAGATCAGCAATAGGAGCCATTTAAGAATTTAGATAAGTATTTCTAAGTATCAACTCTTCATTTTCAAGATGGATATTATTATCAGAAAGCTCTGTCCATCTTTGAGTCTTTGGCCCTAAACCTCTTTGATACAATCTATTTTCATATTAAGATAGTTGACTCAAGAAGCTGGGTCTCATCTCTAAATCGGGTCTACGAGAATTCAAGAATTCTAGAGTTTTTAGCAAACTCCATCGATATCTTCTCATTATAAAAGCTGCAATAACAAAGCATGCTCTATTTTAAGCCTTGACTGACTAAACGAGTACTGATTCTTGATTATCTATTGCTTCCTCCATGAATTTATAAATCTCATCAGGGATTTTTTCTTAGGAATCAAATAAAGTTTACTTTTCGTCATCTTGCCAGTTCAGTGTAAGATACAATACACCTATTGGTTCCCAATGATTTGGGAGTTGCATTCCAGCTGTATTAACTACTCTTGTAACTTTATTTGCAACAACAAATTCTAGATCCTATAGAAATTAGTTAGAATATTATAAGGAAATTATCAAATAATGTGAATGGAAGTTAGAACAAGTGCTGGTAAATCAGTGATTTTGCATTTTATATTTGGAATATAATATCATCCCGAATAAAAATTGTCAGCACCATAAGTTGATAAATAAATATATCAAATGATCTTTTCTACTTACTTGAGCGCCGAATTCATCGCAAATAAAGATTCCGTCTTTAATTTTAATTACTCCGATAATATCTCCTTAATCAGGTTCTTCATTATTGAAATTTTGTTACTAAGCGATTGGCTGTTATTGTTGAGGTGTCTATTAGAAAGAATTAATTTGCTAATGTGGGTTATTCAATTAATTCTGCTGCTGGTGTAATTGAATAGTTTGAGGATGCTATTATTGATGCTAACTCATATTTGCAGGTCCGTGATTATTATGCATCTATTGCTGATGCCCAATCGTCGGATTTTATAGCTACTATTGTGCTCCACTCCATTGTTATTAATGAATAATCTATTGCTATTGATGTTGGTGATTTTATTGTTGAGGAATATTGAAAGGTTGATTTTAAGGAGGTACATTCATTGGAGGTTGTCTCTGTTGATTGTAAACTTTAAAGGAGTCCTGAGGGACAGGGGCATGGTGGTGATTTGCAAAGTTATTGTGATTGGGCAGCTATTGTTGAGTGTGTAGAGGCTACTGAGTTTTCATATACATATTTTAAAATACTAAGGAAATTTAAGATAATAACTTAATTCTCTGAGCTTTAAAATTCAAATCAAATTACAACGTTTAAATACTTTATGAATTTTATTTCACTCTATCATCAATCCTTCTCCGATGTGTGTACCGGGGTTTTGGGGTTTTGGGGTTTTGGGG